CACTGAATGCAGTGTCGCCATACTAGACGCAGTGTCGCCATACTTACGCAGTGTCGCCATACTTACACAGTGTCGCCATACTGGACACAGTGTCGCCATACTCGACGCAGTGTCGTCATACTCGACGCAGTTTCGCCATACTGAACGCAGTGTCGCCATACTGAACGCAGTGTCGCAATACTAGACGCAGTGTCGCAATACTGAACGCAGTGTCGCCATACTTACGCAGTGTCGCTATACTAGACGCAATTTCGCCATACTGGACACAGTGTCGCCATACTGGACGCAGTGTCGTCATACTCGACGCAGTGTCGCCATACTGAACACACAGTCGCCATACTAGACGCAGTGTCGCCATACTGGACACAGTGGCGTCATATTGGGCACAGGGACGTCATATTGAGCACATTGTCGTTATATTGGACGCAGTGTCGCCATACTGAACGCAGTGTCGCCATACTAGACGTAGTGTCGCAATACTGGACGCAGTGTCGCCATACTTACGCAGTGTCGCCATACTGGACGCAATTTCGCCATACTGGACAGAGTGTCGCAACACTGGACGCAGTGTCGTCATACTCGACGCAGTGTCGCCATACTGAATGCATAGTCGCCATACTAGACGCAGTGTCACCATACTGGACACAGTGGCGTCATATTGGACGCAGTGTCGCCATACTGGACGCAGCGTCGTAATACTGGACAGCAGTGTCGCCATACTGGACGCAGTGTCGCCATACTGGACGCAGCGTCGTCATACTGGACGCAGTGTTGTCATACTGAACGCAGTGTCGTCATACTGGACGCAGTGTCGCCGTACTGGACGCAGTGTCGCCATACTGGACGCAGTGTCACCATACTGAACGCAGTGTCGCCATACTGAACGCAGTGTCGCCATACTAGACGCAGTGTCGCAATACTGGACGCAGTGTCGCCATACTTACACAGTGTCGCCATACTGGACACAATTTCGCCATACTGGACACAGTGTCGCCATACTGGACGCAGTGTCGTCATACTAGACGCAGTGTCGCCATACTGAACGCATAGTCGCCATACTAGACGCAGTGTCGCCATACTGGACACAGTGGCGTCATATTGGGCACAGTGACGTCATATTGAGCACATTGCCGTTATATTGGACGCAGCGTCGCCATACTGGACACAGTGTCGCCATACTGGACGCAGTGTCGCCATACTGGACGCAGTTTCGCCATGCTGGACGCTGTGTTGCCATGCTGGACGCAGTTTCGCCATACTGGTCGCAGTTTCGCCATACTGGATGCAGTGTCGCCATACTGGACGCAGTGTCGCCATACTGGACGCAGCGTCGTAATACTGGACAGCAGTGTCGCCATACTGGACGCAGTGTCGCCATACTGGACGCAGCGTCGTCATACTGGACGCAGTGTTGTCATACTGGACGCAGTGTTGTCATACTGAACGCAGTTTCGCCACACTGGACGCAGTGTCGCCATACTGGACACAGTGTCGCCACACTGGACGCAGTGTCACCATACTGAACGCAGTGTCGCCACACTGAATGCAGTGTCGCCATACTAGACGCAGTGTCGCAATACTGGACGCAGTGTCACCATACTTACGCAGTGTCGCCATACTGGACGCAATTTCGCCATACTGGACACAGTGTCGCCATACTGGACGCAGTGTCGTCACACTCGACGCAGTGTCGCCATACTGAACGCAGTGTCGCCATACTGAACGCAGTGTCGCCATACTAGACGCAGTGTCGCAATACTGGACGCAGTGTCGCCATACTTACGCAGTGTCGCTATACTGGACGCAATTTCGCCATCCTGGACACAGTGTCGCCATACTGGACGCAGTGTCGTCATATTCGACGCAGTGTCGCCACACTGAACGCATAGTCGCCATACTAGACGCAGTGTCGCCATACTGGACACAGTGGCGTCATATTGGGCACAGTGACGTCATATTGAGCACATTGTCGTTATACTGGACGCAGTGTTGTCATACTGGATGCAGTGTTGTCATACTGAACGCAGTTTCGCCATACTGGACGCAGTGTCGCCATACTGGACGCAGTGTCCCCATGCTGGACGCAGTGTCACCATACTGAACGCAGTGTCGCAATACTGGACGCAGTGTCGCCATACTGGACGCAATTTCGCCATACTGGACACAGTGTCGCCATACTGGACGCAGTGTCGTCATACTCGACGCAGTGTCGCCATACTAAACGCATAGTCGCCATACTAGACGCAGTGTCGCCATACTGGACACAGTGGCGTCATATTGGGCACAGTGACGTCATGATGAGCACATTGTCGTTATATTGGACGCAGTGCCGCCATACTGGACGCAGTGTCACCATACTGGACGCAGTGTCGCCATACTGGACGCAGCGTCGTAATACTGGACAGCAGTGTCGCCATACTGGACGCAGTGTCGCCATACTGGACGCAGCGTCGTCATACTGGACGCAGTGTTGTCAAACTGAACGCATTGTCGCCATACTGGACGCAGTGTCGCCATACTGGACGCAGCGTCGCCATACTGGATGCAGTGTCACCATACCGAACGCAGTTTCGCCATACTGAACGCAGTGTCGCCATACTAGACGCAGTGTCGCAATACTGGACGCAGTGTCGCCATACTGGACGCAATTTCGCCATACTGGACACAGTGTCGCCATACTGGACGCAGTGTCGTCATACTCGACGCAGTGTCGCCATACTGAACGCATAGTCGCCATACTAGACGCAGTGTCGCCATACTGGACACAGTGGCGTCATATTTTGCACAGTGACGTCATATTGAGCACATTGTCGTTATATTGGACGCAGTGCCGCCATACTGGACGCAGTGTCACCATACTGGACGCAGTGTCGCCATACTGGACGCAGTGTCGCCATACTTGCTAAATACCATCGATCGGATCGTAACACAAAGTTTTCACTGGAATAGTTCATCAGTACCATGGATTATGTGACATGTATACTCATTCATTGGTAATCATGTAATTGGCGGCCTGAAGTCTTCTTTTACCAGATTGTAAAATAGTCCCGAGGGTACGTCGTGACTGGCTAACCAGCTTCAAATTTGACAATCTCGCGTGGAGCGAGTTTAGAACGTTATGAATCGTGACTTACCGGCGCCGTTTTAACTGTGTGTTTTTTTTCTTGCTATATTTCTGACTTCTCACACATGAACATAGCATGAACTGAGTAACGTTTTATATGAATTGATTTTGGATGTAAGTAAACCACTGTTAGCCAC